TTTAACGTGATGTTGCTAAATTGCGTTTATTTAAGGTGATATTGCTATATCACTTTTATTTTAAGATGATATTGCTATATCGTGTTTATTTAATGTGATATTGCTATATCAATTTTATTTAAGGTGATATTGCTATATCGTGTTTATTTAAGGTGATGTTGCTATATCGAGTTTATTCAAGGTGATATTGCTATATCGCGTTTATTTAAAGTGATGTTACTATATCACGTTTATTTAAGTTGATATTACTATATCACGGTTTTTTAAGGTGATATTACTGTATCACTTTTATTTAAGATAATGTTGCTATATCAGGTTTATTTAAAGTGATGTTGCTATATCGTGGGTATTTAATGTGATATTGCTATATCAATTTTATTTAAGGTGATATTGCTTTATCGTGTTTATTTAAGATGATGTTGCTATATCACTTTTATTTTAAGATGATATTGCTATATCGTGTTTATTTAATGTGATATTGCTATATCGGGTTTATTTAATGTGATATTGCTATATCAGGTTTATTTATGGTGATGTTGCTATATCACGTTTATTTAAGGTGATGTTGCTATATCGTGTTTATTTAAGATGATGTTGCTATATCGCGTTTATTGAAGCTGATGTTGCTATATCGTGTTTATTTAAGGTGATGTTGCTAGGTGATGTTAATATATCACGTATATCTAAGGTGATGTTGCTATATCGTGTTTTTTGAAGATGATGTTGCTATATCGCGTTTTTTTAGGGTGAAATTGTTATATCGCGTTTATTTAAGATGATGTTACTATATCATTCTTTTTAAGTTGATATTACTATGTCACGTTTATTTAAGGTGATATTACTGTATAACTTTAATTTAAGGTGATGTTACTATATCACGTTTATTTAAGGTGATATTGCTATATCGTGTTTATTTAAGGTGATGTTGCTATATCACTTTTATTTAAGGTGATGTTGCTATATCACGTTTATTTAAGTTGATATTAGTTTATCACGGTTTTCTAAGGTGATATTACTGTATCACTTTTATTTAAGATGATGTTGTTATATCGTGTTTGTTTCAGATGATGTTGCTATATCGGGTTTATTTAACGCGATGTTGCTATATCGTGTTTACTTAAGGTGATGTTGCTATATCGTTTTTATTTAAGGTGATGTTGCTATATCGTGTTTATTTAAGGTGATGTTGCTATATCACATTTATTTAAGGTGATATTGCTATATCGCGTTTATTTAAAGTGATGTTACTATGTCACGTTTTTTTAAGGTGATGTTGCTATATCACTTTTATTTAAGGTGATGTTGCTATATCACGTTTATTTAAGTTGATATTACTTTATCACGGTTTTTTAAGGTGATATTACTGTATCACTTTTATTTAAGATGATGTTGCTATATCGGGTTTATTTCACGTGGTGTTGCTATATCGTGTTTACTTGAGGTGATGTTGCTATATCGTGTTTATTTAAGGTGATGTTGCTATATCACGTTTATTTAAGGTGATATTGCTATATCGCGTTTATTTAAAGTGATGTTATTATATCACGTTTATTTAAAGTGATGTTGCTATATCACGTTTATTTAAGGTGATGTTGCTATATCACTTTTCTTAAAGGTGATGTTGCTATATCGCGTTTATTTAAAGTGATGTTGCTATATCACGTTTATTTAAGTTGATATTACTTTATCACGGTTTTTTAAGGTGATATTACTGTATCACTTTTATTTAAGATGATGTTGTTATATCGTGTTTATTTAAGATGATGTTGCTATATCGGGTTTATTTAACGTGATGTTGCTATATCTTGTTTACTTAAGGAAGGTGATGTTGCTATATCGTATTTATTTAAGGTGATGTTGCCATATCCCGTTTATTTAAGGTGATATTGCTATATCGCGTTTATTTCAAGTGATGTTACTATATCACGTTTATTTAAGTTGATATTACTATATCACGGTGATTTAAGGTGATATTACTATATCACGTTTATTTAAGGTGATGTTGCTATATCAGGTTTATTTAAGGTGATGTTGCTATATCACGTTTATTTAAGGTGATGTTGCTATATCACTTTTATCTAAGGTGATGTTGCTATATCGCGTTTATTTAAAGTGATGTTACTATATCACGTTTATTTAAGTTGATATTATTTAACACGGTTTTTTAAGGTGATATTACTGTATCACATTTATTTAAGATGATGTTGTTATATCGTGTTTATTTAAGATGATGTTGCTATATCGGGTTTATTTAACGTGATGTTGCTACATCACGTTTATTTAAGGTGATATTGCTATGTCGCGTTTATTTAAAGTGATGTTACTATATCACGTTTATTTAAGATGATGTTGCTATATCACGTTTATTTAAGGTGATGTTGCTATATCGTGTTTATTTAAGGTGATATTGCTCTATCGCTTTTATTTAAGGTGATATTACTGTATCACATTTATTTAAGATGATGTTGTTATATCGTGTTTATTGAAAGTGATGTAACTATATCACGTTTATGTAAGGTGAGGTTGCTTTATCGTGTTTATTTATGCTGATGATGCTATATCGCTTTTCTTAAAGGTGATGTCGCTATATCGCGTTTACTTAAAGAGATGTTGCTATATCGCGTTTATTTAAAGGGATGTTGCTATATCACATTTATTTAAGATGATGTTGTTATATCGTGTTTATTTATGATGATGATGCTATATCGCGTTTATTTAACGTTATGTTGCTTTATTGCGTTTATTTAAGGTGATGTTGCTATATCGCGTTTATTTAAAGTGATGTTGCTATATCGTGTTTATTTAAAGTAATGTTGCTATATCACGTTTTATTCAAGGTGACATTACAATATCACGTTTTATTTAAGGTGACATTACTATATATCATGTTTAATTTAAGGTGATATTGCTTTATCACGTTTTATTTAAGATGAATTTAATATATAGCGTTTATTTAATATAAATTTACTACATCGCATATATTTAAGGTGATGTTGCTAAATGTATATCATGTTTATTTAAGGTGATATTACTATATCACGTTGTTTTAAGGTGATATTGCTTGATCACGTTTTTTTAAGGTGATATTATTGTATCACTGTTATTTAAGATGATGTTGCTATATCGGGTTTATTTAAGGTGATGTTACTATATCACGTTTATTTAAGTTGATGTTGCTATATCACGTTTATTTAAGGTGATGTTGCTATATCAGGTTTATTTAAGGTGATATTTCTATATCGCGTTTATTTAAAGTGATGTTACTACATTTGTATATCACGTTTATTTAAGTTGATATTACTATATCACGGTTTTTTAAGTTGATATTACTGTATCACTTTTTTTCAAGTTGATATTACTGTATCACTTTTATTTAAGATGATGTTGCTATACCGCGTTTATTTAAAGTGATGCTACCATATCACGTGCATTTAAGTTGATACATGTATTACCATATCACGTTTCTTTAAGGTGATGTTGCTATATCACGTTTATGTAAGGTGATGTTTCTATATCGTGTTTATTTAAAGGAATGTTGCTATATCGCGTTTATTTAAAGTGATGTTGCTATATTATTCAATCATAGCCTTTAGCTGAGGTCGATACCTGGATTTATCGACCCGAGAAAAGATAAATTAACAGAGGACGCAGTCCGAGGTCAATATATCTTTTCTCGGGTCGATAAATCCAGGTATCGACCGAAGTCAAAGGCTACACTTGTTTTATTAATTTCAAAAGAGTAATGTTAGCAATATGAAAAAAAATCTCAGCATAGAACTGAGGAAGCGGGACGATGCGTTGGTTTGGAGACACGTCATAATTCTATTTTTAGAAACACCCAGTCCTTCAACAAAAATCACACGCTCCAAGTCAATATCGGTTTTTATCGGTGGACACGTGATGCACTCCTGTTCAATCTCTTGTCGGGAATAATATGATGAAATAATATCACGTTTTATTTAAGGTGACATTACTATATCACGTTTTATTTAAGTTTACATTACTATATATCACGTTTTATTTAATGTGATATTGCTTTATCACGTTTTATTTAAGATGAATTTAATATATCGATTTTATTTAATATGAATTTACTACATCGCATATATTTAAGGTGATGTTGCTAAATGTATATCACGTTTATTGAAGGTGATGTTACTATATCTTGTTTTTTAAAGTGATATTGCTTTATCACGTTTTTTAAGGTGATATTACTGTATCACTTTTATTTAAGATGATGTTGCTATATCGGGTTTATTTAAGGTGATGTTACTATATCACGTTTATTTAAGGTGATGTTGCTATGTCACGTTTATTTAAGGTAATGTTGCTATATCACTTTAATTTAAGGCGAAGCCGAGGGTGACAATGTGTTTTTCAGGGTTGACAATAATCACTGTCATCTGCTAATGAATGTCATATCTATTTTGTTACACCAAAAGTCTTTAAATAAATAGTTATCTTAAAAAAACTAACTTCTACCCATCTATATGTAGCTCAGAAACGGCAGCAAACCTTGATAATGACATCTTGTTTGTTGAAAGTCTGCTGTTTAAAATCGCTATCGCACCGGCGCTTTATAAAATTGGCTGTTGCCGTCAAATGTTCTTGTGACCATCACGGTGGGGAAACGAAGCGGTGAAAAATGGCCACTCTGAAAAACCCGGAACGCACATTTTTCGCGCATGTGATATTTTTCTCCGTCTCATGGCAACATCCCCTGCGCGACTTAAAACCAATATATTTTCTGAGGATGACAGAGATTTTGTTTATTTTTTTCCCAACCAATCAAATAGCTAGAAATTCACTTGAGGTGTAACAATACTATATATCACGTTTATTCTAGCTGTTACAGTATTTTGTCTTTTTTATCTTTGATTTCCTATTCCGTGTGTATTAAGCTACTACTCTTATTTCACGTGTGTTAAGTCTTTTCAAAGGAGTAGTTTGAAACTGCAAATATTAGTGTTCACTTATGATAATAGCAATACCTATTTCAGATCCAAGGGTGCATGAGAACCACAAGTCGGCCCTGAAGGGGAAACGGAAGCGGACCACGTTCTCCACACGTCAGCTACAGGAATTGGAGAAGGCGTTTAGGAAGATGCACTACCCAGATGTGTTTCTGAGAGAGAAATTGGCTTGCAAGATAAAACTCCCGGAATCACGGATACAGGTAAGACAAAGAGGAATAGAGTCACGGATACTGGAAAAACAGAAAGGGACATAGACATAGGTAAATTAGAGAAACAAAGTCAGAGATATATGTAGAAAATAGAAAGAGAGGCGGAATCAGGGTTACAGGTAGGATGAAAAGGGACCGAGATACAAATACAGGTAAAACAGGGAGGTGCAGAGTCACGGAAACTTGTAAAACAAGAAAGGGAGGAGTCACGGAAACTGTTCTAACAGTGAAGAAAAGAGTCACAGAAACAGGTAAGATACAGACGGGTTGTAGCCACGGATACGGCTATATAAGGCAGAAAGGGGCGGACTCTCGCATACAAGTGAAAACAGGAAGGGGCGCAGTCACGGTAAAAACCTCGTGTCTTTATACAATTTGAAAATGATCTCGTGTGAGATATACATGTACATGATAACCGACCATCACTCGTTGGGGAACCTCTCTGTACTATACTGGCAGTACCACCACATGGCGCAGTAGTGTTCCGTGCTTTGTCTACAGACACGACTCATTAAACAATGTATTAAACTTTGTCCACCGCACACTGAAGTACAATATCACACTTTTTGACCAATAGAATAACGGATTTATCTATTTTATTATTCAATTTTGTTTATATATTTCATGCCTTCAGGGTCAAGATACATTCATGAAAATCATCGCTATTTTGCCATTCTTGCGACTGGTATATGTACAAGGTTTTTATCGCAAAACCAGTAAATATCCTCCATATGTTTGTACACTACAGACTGACTTACGATGTTCTGTAAATGCGATTCCCGCCTTTATCTGTTAAATATGCCTTGTTTTACGGGAGTTTCAAATGATATCATATTATGCAGAGTACTGATGGTGACCAGGTGGGTTTTCCTTTCGCTAAGTGGATGTCAATACAGTAGGAATACAAATTACATGTAATCCGTTAATACCATCCGTGTATGAATCCTGTATGCTGACCTCTAATTCAGTTATAGAAACTGTAGAGCGAGATGGCTACCAATCATTGTAACGACTGCCATGATTAATAACCTGGTTTTGTCCGCAAGTAGGTCCTGTACAATTTTATTTGCAATCTAAGCACATCGTATTGTGTGAAAATTTGATAAGGTGGGGGCGGGGGGCTCACAAATATTGCATGCAATCGAGTGAAAAATTAACGGCGGTGTCGTTTCAGCTGTTAAATATAAAGAAAACAATATTTATTCAGTAAAAACTTATTTCATGCTTGTGTCAAATAACAAAAGTGTTAATTTTTTGCCAGTATGAAAGAACTTTTTTTTTTTGTCGTTAGTAAAATATCATGGTAACCATTTTACTATCAGTAAAACATAGGAAGGTAACAAAGCACATTGGAAAATGTAAACCGGTGACGGTTGATGTCTTTTCATTTTCGGTTATTAAAGGACTGAAAGGCGTTTCAGCAAATAATGATACGAAACATATTTGCTTACAATTATATTTCACGCAGTAGCCATTTGTGAATTTCAGTTTAAGTTTAAATTAAATACCACATTACTATTGGTCCCATATTTCTGTAACCATATGACGGTTTTTTCAAAGTATCGACAAAATGTTTCTCGGTAAAGTTTCTATCTGTGTAAAATATATATTTAAACAGGTATATCTCTGGCTCGAATGGTTACTTACATAGTTAATTCTCATTCTCTAATGATTACTTACATAGTTGTCTCTCATTCTCTAATGATAACTTACATAGTTATCTCTCAGTCTCAAATGATAACTTACATAGTTGTCTCTCATTCTCTAATGATTACTTACATAGTTATCTCTCATTCTCTAATGATAACTTACATAGTTATCTCTCAGTCTCTAATGATAACTTACATAGTTGTCTCTCATTCTCTAATGATTACTTACATAGTTGTCTCTCACTCTCTAATGATAACTTACATAGTTATCTCTCAGTCTCTAATGATAACTTACATAGTTATCTCTCATTCTCTAATGATTACTTACATAGTTATCTCTCATTCTCTAATGATAACTTACATAGTTGTCTCTCAGTCTCTAATGATTACTTACATAGTTGTCTCTCAGTCTCTAATGATAACTTACATAGTTGTCTCTTTGTCTCTAATGATAACTTACACAGTTATCGTCCAGTCTCTAATGATCACTTACATAGTTATCTCTCAGCCTCTTATGTTGTTTTTTTATATATGTTTAGTAGTCTAATGCAAATATTTTCTAATACAGTTATCAATCAGTCCTTGGTGTTTAATGATTTCCATTTGTTTTAGTTGTTTAAGAGGTTTACTGATATAGAAATCACTCTCGTATTCACTTTTACCTTTGTCACAGCTGGTAACTTATATGGATGTATACTAATGATAACTTACATAGTTGTCTCTTTGTCTCTAATGATAACTTACACAGTTATCGTCCAGTCTCTAATGATAGCTTACATAGTTATCGTCCAGTCTTTAATGATAACTTACATAGTTATAGTCCAGTCGCTAATGATAACTTACATAGTTGGCGCTCAGTCTCTAATGATAACTTCCATAGTTATCGTCCAGTGTCTAATGATAACTTACATAGTTATAGTCCAGTCGCTAATGATAACTTACATAGTTATCTCTCAGCCTTAAATGATAACTTACATAGTTATATCTCAGCCTCTTATGTTGTTTGTTTACATATGTTTAGTAGTCTAATTCAAATATTTTCTGATACAGTTATCAATCAGTCCTTGGTGTTTAATGATTTCCATTTGTTTTAGTTGTTTAAGAGGTTTACTGATATAGAAATCACTCTCGTATTCACTTTTACCTTTGTCACAGCTGGTAACTTATATGGATGGATACATAGTTGTCTCGGTTGTTTTCTTTTAAATACATAGTCTCTAATGATAACTTACACAGTTATCGTCCAGTCTCTAATTATAACTTACATAGTTGTCTCTTTGTCTCTAATGATAACTTACACAGTTATCGTCCAGTCTCTAATGTTAACTTACATAGTTATCGTCCAGCCTCTAATGATAACTTACATAATTATCTCTCATTCTCTAATGATTACTTACATAGTTGTCTCTCACTCTCTAATGATAACTTACATAATTATCTCTCAGTCTCTAATGATAACGTACATAGCTATCGTCCAGTCTCTAATGATAATTTACATAGTTATCTCTCAGTCTTTAATGATAACTTACATAGTTATATCTCAGCCTCTTATGTTGTTTTTTTATATATGTTTAGTAGTCTAATGCAAATATTTTCTAATACAGTTATCAATCAGTCCTTGGTGTTTAATGATTTCCATTTGTTCTAGTTCTTTAAGAGGTTTACTGATATAGAAACCAGTCTCGTATTTACTTTTACCTTTGTCACAGCTGGTAACTTATATGGATGTATACTAATGATAACTTACATAGTTGGCGCTCAGTCTCTAATGATAACTTTCATAGTTATCGTCCAGTCTCTGATGATAACTTACATAGTTATCTCTCATCCTCTAATGATTACTTACATAGTTATCTCTCATTCTATAATGATAACTTACATAGTTGGCGCTCAGTCTCTAATGATAACTTTCATAGTTATCGTCCAGTCTCTGATGATAACTTACATAGTTATCGTCTCTCAGTCTATAATGATAACTTACATAGTTGGCGCTCAGTCTCTAATGATAACTTTCATAGTTATCGTCCAGTCTCTTATGATAACTGACATAGTTATCGTCCAGTCTCTACTGATAACTTACATAGTTATCGTCTCTCAGTCTCTACTGATAACTTACATAGTTATCGTCCAGGCTCTAATGATAACTTACATAGGTATAGTCCAGTCTCTAATGATAACTTACTTAGTTATCGTCCAGTCTCTAATGTTAACTTACATAGTTATCGTCCACTCTCTAATGATAACTTGCATAGTTATCGTCCAGTCTCTGATGATAACTTACATAGTTATCGTCTCTCAGTCTCTAATGCTAACTTACATAGTTATCGTCCAGTCTTTAATGATAACTTACATAGTTATAGTCCAGTCGCTAATGATAACTTACATAGTTATCCTTCAGTCTCTAATGATAACTTACATAGCTATCGTCCAGTCTCTAATGATAACTTACATAGTTATCTCTCAGCCTCTTATGTTGTTTTTTTACATATGTTTAGTAGTCTAATTCAAATATTTTCTAATACAGTTATCAATCAGTCCTTGGTGTTTAATGATTTCCATTTGTTTTAGTTGTTTAAGAGGTTTACTGATATAGAAATCAGTCTCGTATTTACTTTTACCTTTGTCACAGCTGGTAACTTATATGGATGTATACATAGTTGTCTCGGTTGTTTTCTTTTAAATACATGTATATGTCCGTTTCTGTTATTTACTTATTTAGACTATTATCTGATTAAGACGTTAACTTATTCAGGTAATTATCTGTCACAGTTGTTTATGTATAAAGAATCTTTCACGAGTTTCCATTTCCTATGAGATTGAGATGAGAACGAGTCTAAGATTTTTTCAATTTTGCGAGCCTCTTGCGAGCTAAAATGAAAAATAAATGACGAGTTTCATAAATTTCATGTGAAATGAAAACGAGTGCAAGATCCTTTTTACCACATACTCAATATTTGTGGCATTTATTCGTGTAAAACGACAATTTTCATGCAACCTTTAAATGTGAAAAGCCGCCACTTTGACTCCAGTCCGTACGTTTGTGACGTACGTCATGCATTTGTCCTATGCGTGATGTCATAATTGAAACTTACAACCATTCACAGGGCTGATAGGTCATATTACATGGGTTTATACGCAAAAAAATATGGCATGGGTATATTCACTGGATAACAGAAAATTATGTGATAAAGCTATATATCTATGTTTCCTGGAAGTTACATGTATCTGATGCATAGGTCTCTGATGTTTACTAACATCTCTTTGTTTTAAATGTTATAGATGTCTTCTTATGTCATTATCTGTTTGTCTCGGATACTTATTGATATAGCTATTAATAAGTCT